CAATCTCCGGCCCGGCACGCTAGAGGTCAGACGGGAAAAAGCGGGACAGAGGACGGGTTGGGTTTATTTCCAGGCCGGGACATAATGTCAAAAAGAGGAGAAGGGGGGGGGGGGGGGGTCAAATATGGGTGCTAAGGACAGAACTGTTGAGCAATTTAAAGGGACATGGGCCAATTATAGTAATAGAAGAATAGAACCAGGAAATAAGCAAGATTTGTGCTACTCCATGAGGTGGATAATAATGGACGTTTGACAAAAGATAATCAGATAAATACATAAATAGGTAATTAACCTTATAGTTGGATATCTGTATGTAATTTGTTAACCGTACAGTTGGATATCTATGTATTGTTGTTAACCGTACAGTTACATATATTTATTTACTATTGTTAACCGTACAATTGGATATCTGTATGTACTGTTGTAACCGTACAGTTAGATATATTTATTTATTGTTGTTAACCGTACAGTTGGATATCTGTATGTAATGTTGTTAACCGTACAGTTAGATATATTTATTTATTTTTGTTAACCGTACAGTTGGATAGCTGTATGTAATGGTGTTAAACCGAAAAAGTTGGATATCTGTATGTACTGTTGTAACCGTACCGATACAGTTAGATATATTTATGTACAGTTTTTAACCATACAGTTGGATATCTGTATGCACTGATGTTAAACCGTACAGTTGGATATTTTTATGTACTGATTTATAACCGTACAGTTCTATATATGTATGTATCTGTTAGATGAATTAGTGTAGATTGAAACAAGAAGTATGGCACCGTTGACATAAAGGAAAGATGGATAACAAATGAAAGTAAAATAACATTTAGTACTCAACTCCAAAACTTGTTCACCGCTTTCTGCCACATTTAATTCAAATATTTAAAAAAAATATATTTATAAAAATTTGAAAAAGTTTATAGTCATAAAATCAACCAAGAATCACAAATTGTAATGAAAAAATTACAAATGAATATAAATTTCATGTTTAAATAATCACGCAACCTCAAACAGAAAATATTGTGTCTTCCTTACATATATCCATCCTACATTTTGCACTTATATTAATTCATTCTTACTATTCGTTCAACTGAAATAACAAAGCACACTTAAAAACTATTTGAATACGCGTAACATTATTTAGATCTATATATAATAAACGACGTATCTAAGTCAACCCTGCATGTGTGGCGTGTGATAATGTATACTCAATTGCAGTGCAGTGAATACTTGGGTTTAGTTTTTGAAAAAAACTGTACTCGTCAAAAACTTTTATCTTTTTAATCCTTATATTTATATCTAATATCATGGTGTAAACTATACAGATATTTCAAACTTACACTACTGGTTTACCCACGATGGATGAGACTGTAAAGACGACCAGAAATTCTTAAAATATGACGATCCCAAGGTTAAATTAACTCTTCTGTCTTGAAGATAGTCTTTTATGTTTTTTTTATGAATTTGCAACGAAACAATCAAGCTTACAGTTTCAGGATATTATGAATATAAGTAAACAGACAGTAATCCGTACAGTAGTCTTTGAAGTCTCACCCTTCATGGGTAACCCTGTATTTGATCTAACAGAACAACTGGATGGAAAAGTCAAATGTCTGCGACATCAGGTTGTCAAGATTTTGGGATTACCAAAGCAGATACACCAAGAAGAACCATGATAACAGTAACAAAAGAAAACCATTACGAAAGTCTTGACATAAAAAACTGGAGGCAAGAAAAAACTAATGATGTAATTAACGCAGGAAAAAAGTCTATCTTTGTTTTTATTTTTGTAAATCCATTGTTGCATGATGAAGCGTGGCCAATGGATCATTTAGTGCCAACTTCTGTTCAAACAAGTGCAGTCCAGTGGTCAAATATCAGGGGTGTAGACACCAGAGAGGGTGTGTATACCAGTACAGTCTAGTGGTCAAATAGTCCAGGGGTGTAGACAACAGAGAGGGGTTAATACCAGTACAGTCTAGTGGTCAAATATCAGGGGTGTATACAACAGAGAGGGGGTGTATACCAGTACAGTCTAGTAGTCAAATAGTCCAGGGGTGTAGACAACAGAGAGGGGGTGAATACCAGTACAGTCTAGTGGTCTAATATCAGGGGTGTAGACAACAGAGAGGGGGTGAATACCAGTACAGTCTAGTGGTCAAATATGAGGGGTGTAGACAACAGAGAGGGGGTGAATACCAGTACAGTCTGGTGGTCAAATACCAGGGGTGTAGACAACGAGAGGGGGGTGAATACCAGTACAGTCTACTGGTCAAATATCAGGGGTGTAGACAACAGAGAGGGGGTGAATACCAGTACAGTCTAGTGGTCAAATATCAGGGGTGTAGACAACGAGAGTGGGTGTATACCAGTACAGTCTAGTGGTCAAATATCAGGGGTGTAGACAACAGAGAGGGGTTAATACCAGTACAGTCTAGTGGTCAAATATCAGGGGTGTAGACAACGAGAGGGGGTGAATACCAGTACAGTCTAGTGGTCAAATATCAGGGGTGTAGACAACAGAGAGGGGTTGAATACCAGTACAGTCTAGTGGTCAAATATCAGGGGTGCAGACAACAGAGAGGGGGTGTATAACAGTACAGTCTATTGGTCAAATATCAGGGGTGTAGACAATAGAGAAGGGGTGTATACCAGTACAGTCTAGTGGTCAAATACCAGGGGCGTAGACAATAGAGAGGGGTGTATACCAGTACAGTCTAGTGGTCAAATATCAGGGGTGTAGACAACAGAGAGGGGTGTATACCAGTACAGTCTAGCGGTCAAATACCAAGGGGCGTAGACAATAGAGAAGGGGTGAATACTAGTACAGTCTAGTGGTGTACAATGTAAAAAAAACATTTTTGCACAGTTTTACTTTTGAATTTCGAAAATAAAAAATTAATTTGTTTGTTTACGGGCAGCCGAAGTACATTTGAATTTCCGAGCCGGGTCAACCTTTCCGGTCCCAGTTTGTACTGTATCGCCTGGACATTGGGTAAATAAAGCAGACACTTAATAGGACTAGATGGTTCAACAAGGTTGACGCGGTCAGACTTTAAGTTGAATTAGAGGTGCGTTGGTTAAGCCGCTTTGACCTTATATATTTGATATAAACAAAAAAACAGACATATAAATCCATATTCAACCATTTCATACAAACTATCAAAGAGAAAAAATTTTCTCTCCCTTTTTTCGGCGTCAAACCTTATAGAAATCCAACGTATGGACCCGCTACGTATAGCAACAGGGTGTATTTTCCGGGAGAACATTTTTTTTATATTTTTGAAAAATTAAACGTTTTTGTAAAATATTGTAGCTTATCATTATCATTGTCATAATTTCTATTTTTTTAACATAACCTAGACATTAAAGGAGCAAAACAGTTTAGTACGTACATTTTAGGTTTGGAAAAAAATCTTAAAAGTATAAAAAAAAGTTCTCCAGTAATGCTAATATGATTTCATAAAATTTCGTTTTACCATTTAAATAAAAGGATTTTATGAAAATTATATTTACTTTACACTGATAATTTAATTTTTCAAAAATATAAAAAATGTACTACCGGAAAATACGCCATGTTGCTATACGTAGCGGGTCCATACGTTTGATTTCTATAAGGTTTGACAACATGTTTAACGCCTGAGATTCTCAGGTTTCATTCTATACCCGGCCCTTTCATTTTTCCTCTACAGTCCCTTACAATTTCAAAACATTTCCAGTCAATTTCATTTTAAGTAAATCTTAATTCAAAATTCTAATTTATTTTTAAAAATTCTTGCCAAAGACTAACTTTTTCATATATTATGTTATTCTTAGACGATTTAGCCATTTTTCTATATTTCGTGTTTAGTATTTACCGTCATCTTTAGTTTCTGTTTTATCCTTGGCTTAAATGTTTTTATGGGATTGTATTCGTGTTTTCGTCTCTCTTTGAGCACTCCAATGTGCCAGCTTAATCCATGGAAAAAGCGGGAAAATTGAATTTCGAATTCAAAATGGATTCCAGCATGATGGATGGAGTAGATACCTAAACCCGAAGCGAGCAGTGCAAACAAACAAAGAAAAACAGTCTGAAACAAACAAACAAACGAACACCCACATCAAGCACTCGTGAGATTTAGAGGGACTATCGTTTTAATTTCAAGTGACCTTTAAAAAAAGAGGGGCATATCCGATTTACAACGGTACCCTTTAGATATTTACCGGATTACCATTGTAGAAGTTACTGTCGTTTTTTTTTGACAATTTCCTGCATTAGAAATTGATTGTTAACGAAACTTCAATTGAAAAAAAAATAAGATTTAAATCGATGTTTTTTTAGATGCGGCGTTTAATATAATCCATGGTGTTAGAGAATAACAAGAAACATCGGAGGATTTCAACTGATTCGGAGGAGATCAAACTCTTAGATCGGAGGCTAATTGGAGAATGTTGAGTGGGAGAGAGACTGAACTGGCCTCCCAGCTCAGGGAGGCAGCAGCAAGTGGACAAACACAGGTTTAAAACTTTTTATTGGTTTCTTCATCATTATTTAAAGTTGTTTCTGCTAAACAGGTTTAAAATAGGTTGACAAGTTTTAGAATCTTATATTTTTAACAGTAAGATATATATATTCATCTTTGAACTTGATAAAGGAAATGATTTTGTGCCACAAACTCAAATTTTCTTATCCATATATCTTAGCAACGTGTTGCAGAGCAACTATACAGGGTTAACCAATGCCCACAAAACATAACAGACTTAGGATACTATTGTACTGAATTAATTTAATCTTTTTTTGCTTGCATAAATATATATCCTAATAACTTATTGATCAAATTCAACCTTCAGATCGTTATATTTAAAAAGATTAAGAATGTATTTAAATTTTCATACTGTGTGGGTCACCCTGTGTAAATCCTACGTGCTAAAGTTGAATTTTATCCTTTATTACCATGTTTTGACTAGGAAGGGTGTAGTTTGTATGATTTTATTAGATTATGCAATGAAAACAACAATAATGTTGAAACTACTGGAGGATGGGGCTCCCTTTATTGTTGATGCTGAAGGACAAACTGCTTTACATCAGGTTTTTATTTTTATTTAATTTTAATGACATACTAGCTGAAGTGCCCGGCGTTACCCGTGGAATTAAAAATAATGCTTTTAATTTTTTTTTCGAATTGTTAAGAAGATTAACTTTCAATTTTTTAAAAAAAAGCGAATTTTGAAAAAAAAATGAATTTTATACGGGTTTCATCAAAAAATTGGTCAGGTTTTTTATTTCAGTTTTAATGACATGTAAAGGTATTATTTCTTTGCCACAAGCTCAATTTTTTATCCTTTACAACTTTATGGCGTAAACCTTCAATATTTCAAACTTGAAATTTTGATCTAACAGAATTCATAGTTTGAATTATCTAAGGTCTACGATATTATTTGCAAAAATACAGGGATTAGAAATTCAGACTTTGTGGCAAAGAATCAATTCCTTTTCAAATAACAATTCATCTATTTATTTATTTATGAATAATTCTTCTCTTTTTAAGTAGAACTACCTACATTGATAACCAGAAAACTCTGAAATAGGAAGACGACTTCACAGCAATACTTAAGTGTATTTGGTGTTGTTACAAAGCAATAAGTTTTACTATACACTTGTTATATTATTATTATAATTATAAAGATTTATTCACACACAAAGAAATGGTTTAGTCATGCGTTTACAATGCACAAGCACAATTGCCGTGTCCCATTGCTCATAACTTGAGTCCTGAAGTCGTCTTCCTAGTTCAGAGTATTTTGGTTTTCAAACTAGTTTAATTTATCAAAGTTTTGTTTGTTCCACCTTTCACTTTAAAGAGACTGTGGACGTATATTTAAGTGACCCTTTATGTTTGGAATTGCGTGTCTGATTCACATCGGTATCCTTGAAACATTTATCTGAGCAAACACCAAGGCGTTGTCTATCTTAAAATTGTGTTGCAGATCTATGCAACAGAAAATTTTTTTTTTTCAGAATTAAACACTTTTCCAAATGTTTTATAGGATCTTGTTGTGAATCAGACATGCCACTCTGTAAATAAAGGGTCACTTATCAAAACGTCTACAATCTCTTTAAAAAAATATTATTTTTGAGGCTGCAAGTGCAGGACATGCTGAAACAGTGTCAGCTTTACTACAGGGGGGATGCGACGTAGCAGTTCAAGATTTTGTAAGTTTTATCTTTTCATGTTTTCGACGTTTTTCTTTCTTTGATTTTCCTTTTTTCTTCTTTTTCTGTTTTTTTCTGTTTCAATGTATTAATGATATTAACAGTAATCTTATTTCTTAAAGTGCAGTAATTTATTTTTGACTTTGCCATGAACACTGAATTTCTAATCTTTGCAACCCGCGGTCATAGAACTTACATATTTAAAACTATGAGCCCTGTTATATAAAATAATTTAACTTTGAAATATTAAAGGTTTACACCATCAGGTTGGTTAGATATAAGCATTAGAAAATTAGAGTTTTTGGCAAAGACTCAATTCATGAATATGTTATTAAAAATGAAAAAATATCAATTCCTTTGGAGGATTTTTATAATTTATGTTTTGCAGAGTGGGCACACAGCTCTGCAACGTGCATCAGCTGAGGGTCACGTGGATATAATTAAACAGCTGATCAAGCAGGGCGCTAGTGTCGACCATCAAGACGAAGTGGTGAGTGCTATTTTGATTTCCTTTCAGCGTTTTTTTAGTTTTTTTTTTGTAAATCAAATCGTACCTATAAAAACTTAATTACTTGCTACTTTTCTGCATATGTTGAATGTTTAAATATCTTTCTCTCTAGATGTCAATCTGCAATATTTGTTAATTAATCTATCTTCCAAATTTGCCTATTGTTATATTTATATATATTTCCGTACGTCAAATATCTATCTATTTCTTTCCTTATGTTTTTTAAATCTAGTTATCTATTTTTCTTATATTTCTATATATATATCTATCTGTCTATCTATCTCTATATATATCCGTCTATTTCTTTTTATTTATCTGTCTTAATTTCTGTCTTTCTATCTATTTAGCCATATCTAGCTGTTAAGATGTCTTTTTATCTGTGGTATAATATCCGTCTATTTTTCGTTACATATCTGTCTATCTGTCTTTCTATTTATAGGTTTATCCGTTCATGTCTATATTTATATATGTCTTTCTCTCTATCTCTCTATCCATTTATATTACAATAGAATCTGTCTAGCTGTCTTTCCATATATCTATCTATCAGTCTATTTCTCAATAGTATCTGTCTAGCTGTCTTTCTATACATATCTATCTATCAGTCTATTTCTCAATATTATCTGTCTAGCTGTCTTTCTATATATTTATCTTTCATTCTATTTCTCAATATTATCTGTCTAACTGTCTTTCTATATATCTATCTATCAGTTTATTTCTCAATATTATCTGTCTAACTGTCTTTCTATATATCTATCTATCAGTCTATTTCTCAATATTATCTGTCTAACTGTCTTTCTATATATCTATCTATCAGTTTATTTCTCAATATTATCTGTCTAACTGTCTTTCTATATATCTATCTATCAGTCTATTTCTCAATATTATCTGTCTAACTGTCTTTCTATATATCT